GGGAGGATGCTATAACAAAAGGTACAAGAGACAAAAGAAGACAATTCTCACTCTCCCAAGTGACCTATCTGCAACTCATGGCTGGAGGCACTTTTCCAAATGGGGGGGGGAAGCACCCCAATGATACCCCACAGGGAAGGATGCAAGGGGTCTGATAATTTCAGGCTGCTTTCAGAGCATGTGCCCAGCTGAATCCAGCAGCCCCGGCCTCCCCTTGCCCACGCAAGAGCACCCCAGCGGCGCCCTATCTGTCTGCACAGCATCCAAACCAGCCAGGCCTCCACACCAGCGATGCACCGGCCCTCAAGACAGCTGCAGCCTGCGCTGCTCGCACCCTGCGCCCCACACTTCTGCTGCCAGGCACCGGGGATCCTGGGGTTGGGTAAAGCAGGCCACACGGCCTTTTCCCGAGGCAGGCTCTCTTGCTCCCCATTTCCATGCCCCAGAGGCAACCCAAGGCCAGAAACCCTCCGCAGAAAAATGCTCAACCGCTGCCCGCTGCCCACATTCTGTAACTCATTTTTTCTCCTTTTTAATTGGACCCACCTGTCTCAACTACAGATTTTCCATTCTCAGCGTTCAAGGACAAAACTCTCCGTTTGGCCAACACTTCCTAAATCTTTTTGCCTGGTTTTTTTTTAGCAGTCAACAGCCTTGCTGCTAGACCCAACTTTCCTCAAACGTGTGTCTTCCAGGTGTTTGGGACATCAGTTCCCATCCGCTGCAGCTCTCTGATGAACTCTCAAAAATGCTGGGAGTTGCAGTCCAACTCATCTGGGGAGCCATCAGTTGGTCCCAGCTGCTCCTTTGCAGAAGCAAAAACTTAGAAACACAGAAACACAGAAACAGAGCGAGTCAGAAGGGGTCTCCCGGGCCATCTAGTCTGACCTCCGGCACCAGCTGGCTCCACTTGGGTCTCTCCCCTTCCCCAACCTGTCTTGGGGCTGGAACTTCTGATGCTCAGGAGAAGCAGATATGAAAGAAGACCAGGCAGGACGGGAAGGACAAGGGAAGGCTGGATATTAAGAGTCGAAGCCATGCCCCGCTGGGTCAGACTACAGACTCATCTAGTCACGCGGCTTATTTCCAAGGGGGACAGCCACAAGCTTCCAGAACAGTCGTGCGCAGGACAGGAAGCAGCTGGTGCTTAGAAGCATGCTTGCCACCCCTGAACGTGGACATCTGTGGGAGCTATCACAGCTAACAGCCTATCCTGGTAAACTGAGACTCCTCCACCGAGGATGGTCTGTTCCTTTTCAGCTACCTGTCAGCCAGTGCCTGTAACCGCACAGCCATTCTTACCCTTTCCCACTGTGGGAAGTCGTATGGTTCTGCAAAACTGCAAGCTACAGTCCTTTGCTCACAGGAGAGAGGGGGAGGAGGGAATTTTGCTGATATTGCCCATTTCCAGGCCTCCCAAGGGATGTGCCAACTCCCGGATCGCTTTGGTAACCCGATTTCTACACCCACCTTTTCTGCATTCCATGCTCTTTATGGGATGGGTGTACCAGCTGCACATGGTATTCCGAATCGTTAGGGACACTGGGAGGAGACCAGGTGGGTCCAGGTAGGGAGAGAACAAAACAGAGACGCTCCAGGCCCAGGGTGGAAGACAGTATTTCAGGGAAGCTACTGAACCACACAAACAGGACTTCACAAAGCAGTCCAAACTCGTACCAAATGCAAGTGATTCCTGCAGCTTGTGTGAAGTGTGTACATCAAAGCCTTTAGCACAATGCATACAAGCTAGCTGGCCAGGTGAGATTATGCAGGGCACTAAATACCTGTTGAAAGCATTTGGAAATCGATTTCAGTCCTTCTTCTGGCTTGTGAGATTTTAGCAAACATTGTCCACACATTTCCAAGCAGAAAGGCGTAGCAATAAGGACTAGAAACTTGTGGCAATGAAAGCTGAGATTCCAAAGAAGCTGACTTCTGTGTCCAGTGCTAACAGTCTGCAGTCGCACAGACTGCGGGATACACACAGTCTTGGCCGAGGCGTACGGAAGTCCCGAGCGCTTGCCCCTATTCCTACCACCTCAGTCTCAGGGCCCATCTCAAGTTCTTCCTCGTGTTAAAAAGAATATTTCTCGTCTTTCTCCCTCTTCCCTTTTACAGGCAAAAACCATTCACGGACCATTCCTTTGTAAGATAAATATTTTTTTTCAGTTTTGCCAGTCCAAAACACAGCACCTTGGCGAAGGGTGTCTGTGGCAGACCTGGTCAGACCCCAGCTTCTTTGCTTCCTTTCCAGCTGATCCAAGCCCAGCCGAAGGACACGCTGAATCGAGGCGGAGTGGCTTCAGTTCTCAGAGTAGGTCTTGTGGAGCCGGGCGGGTGGGAATGCCCCCGAGTGCCGGGGGCACGGAGGAAAGGCATCACAATAAAATGCTGGCTTCCTGGAGAATGGAATGGATTTCCTGGAAGCAGGGCCGGTCCTTGGAGTCTCGCTTCCAGCAGCTGAGCATTAGCTTATAGATCGAATCAGGGCAGAAGGCAGGCTGTGGCAGGTAGATCTACCATTGGGAAAGGACAAGAGCAGATACTGAGGCAAGATCAATTCTCCTCTAAAAGCAAAATGCAGGTATGTGGTCTGGTTTGTGTGTGTATTTATTTATTGAAAATATTTATACCCCATCCTATATGCAAAAGTGTCTCAGGACAGCTTACAGAAGTCAAAACTACAATCCAACAATTAACAATAATTAAAATATACACAAAACCAACAGTAATATATTACAAATGGAAACAAAATCAAAAACAGGAGCAAACTCAAAAAGCGACTGTAAATAGATAAAACCAGATTAAAATTCCTAGCATTTAAAATGATGGGCAAATAAAAGGGTTTTCACCTGGTGCCAAAAAGAATATAAAGCTGGTGCCAGGCAAGCCTCTCTGAGGAGTGCAGTCCAGAGTCTTGGCACCACCACAGAAAAGGCCCTCCCCAGGCGGACACCATCCTTGGTTGCTCTGGCTGAATACCCACCACGAGCCCTACCGCTCAGGCCAGAGGCAGTACTTCCTTCCCTCTTGCGCACTCACTCCCGAGGCCAGTGGTGGCGAACCCATGGCACGTGTGCCACAGCAGGCATGCAGAGCCCTCTCTGTCAGCATGGGAGCCAAGTCACCCCAGCAGCTGAGCATCAAATGTCAGCGCGCACAGGGGCCATGTGCATGCTCAGAAAGGACTCATTATCTGTGACTCATCCGAGCTTTTGCATGGCTGGTCAGTGAGCTGCCAAGGGGAGGGAAGGGGAGAGAGCGAGAGTGCAGTGTTGGCACTCTGTGATAAATAAGTGGGTTTTGGGTTGCAGTGTGGGCAATCGGGTCTCTAAAAAGTTCATCATCACTGGGTTAGGGTTACAAAAACGAGGTGTCCTGGAATGATTTTGATGGTTGGAATGTGTTTAGAATGGGCAGAAAGGCTGAGCTGTGCCAAGAAAGCTACTCAAGGAAGGCTTTTTCAAAATCCCTCTCTTTTCAAGGGAACTTTAGCCCTATATTAGGGTTAGGGGTGTGCACCAGGGTAGGGTCAGGGCAGTGGTGGCAAATCTATGGTACATATGCCACAGTGGGCACGCAGAGCCCTCTCGCGAGCCAAGTCACCCCAGCATCGCCCCAGCAGCCAAGCGTCGGATAACAGTGCACACAGGGGCCATGCGCACGTTCATTCGCTGCGACGCATCTGAGCTTTCGCATGGCCGGTCAGTGCACTGCCAAGGACATATATACACCCCTAAGTCCCCGGACTCATCTAATCTCCTATGCGGATCTCCCCCGTCCTGCTTTGGGGAGAACCCAGAGGCAAAATACTCATTTAGCATCTGTGCCTGTTCCCACATATCAGTCACTGGATCTCCTTCCTCCTTATTTAGTGGCCCCACCACTTGTCTCCCCTTCCTCTTCCTATTTACACGCTGAAAGAAGCCCTTTTTGTTGCTCTTGATATTCTTGGCAAGTCTCAGCTCGTAATCAGCCTTAGCCTTGCGAAGAATCCTTCTGCAATGGGCCTCCTCCTTCCGGTATTCCTTTTTGTCTATTTGCCCCAGTGCCCATTTCCTGTGGAGGTTTCTCTCGCGTCTAATCCCTCTAACCACCTCCTTTCGCATCCATGTCGGCGCCCTCCTCCGCCTCCCCACCTTACTGACTAGAAGTATCGTCAAGGCTTGCGCCTCCAAAACCTCCCTTTTGAGTGCCATCCACCCCTCCTCAACTCGCTTGCCTTCCAGTAACCCATCCCAGGAGACTTTCCCCAGTCTGGCCTTCAGTTGGCCAAAGTTGGCCCTCTTGAAGTCCCAGTTTCTAGTGCTCGACCTGCTGCACGTCCCCAGTCCCTTGATCTCAAAGCAAAGGATGATCACTCGCATCTGCACTTCATCTATCAGCTCCTTCCTGTTGGTCAAGACCAAGTCAAGGATGTCTGTCCCCGCCCTCACGTCTCAGACCCTCTCTGTGAAAAACCCTCCCTCTATAGCTTCTAGGAACCAAACTCAGTGGTGCTTACTTCTGAGTAGACAAGTACAGAATTGAATTCTAACTCACACTGGGCAAGCCACAGAGTCCCCACAGAGCCCTGTCTCCCAGGACTGCTGTTCTTTAAGGACTGCTGAAATAAGTAAGTAAGTGGAAAGCTCTAAACACTTGGGATTTCTCTGTTCAAGTCACGTATTGTGTGCTTGCCATTCCCTGCTCAGCATTGTTTATGGGTTCTTTACACGCCCAGTTTCACTTCTGTGCCTAAATAGCTTTTTTAGAGCAGGGAAAAGTTGGCATGCAATTGTAAAAACAAAAGAAACTGTATGTGTTTGCACTATTCTGCTACTCCATAGTGCCACCTAGAGGTTATGTGGAAGAAGAGCAGAAATACTCCTTCTGCAGTGCTTAGATCCTAATTCTGAAACAAAACTGAAGATAGATAGAGCTGATAATCAGCCTCCTGTAGAAAACCTCTCAGAAAAAGTATGAATGGGCAACTCAGCCCAATTCGACGCATGTCTGTGTAGAAATACATCTCACTGGTTTGACGGAACTGGTTCCCAAGTGCGCGTGTGTCGGACTGCAGCCCTGCAAACGCCTGAAGCCCACGTTCAAAAGGTCTGACAGCGTTCCGCTTTCCCACAGTTCTGCAGACGCATGCCTCCCCCTTCCCCTGCCGTCTCGCCATACCTGCTGCCCCTGATCCCTGAAGAACTCTCCAGTGTTCTCAATCACTCGCTCGTCCGACAGCTGAGAGTAAGGCTGCTCGCGGCAAAAGGTGAAGGTCTCCCAGAGCGTCACGCCGAAGGCCCACACATCGCTCGCGGTGGTGAATTTCCCCTGCGTGGAGGAAGGGAGGGAAGAGGGAAGAGAGAAGGAGAAGACACACACATCCAGTCATTTTGCAGGCCATGCCGAGTCGGCCTGCACGCGTGTTTCAGCTCCCTCCTGGAGGAAAAGCACAGCCAGGCCTGCTCTAGGAAGCGGCAGCTGGCACCCTGACCTCCACCGTCGCCATGGGGAAGTCTGCTACGAGGAGGAGCCCTGGACAGCCTAGTGGCCTGGGCCCATTCGGTCCGGGCCATGCAGGCACGGGAACAAGGAAACAGAAGCTCCTATTTGTGCAGGGAGAGACCAGAGCGACCTGCAGAACTGAACCGGATTCCTCAAGCTGCGTCAAAGGGCCTTTCAAGCCACATTTTTAGCGCGCGTGCGTTGGAGAGGCCTCCGGCGCGGGACCTTCTCCCTTCCCCTTCCAGTGATGCAGTCGCGCGACTGGTTGGGACAGAAGCAGAGAGCGCTGCGGAGCGATGGCTGTTCCAAAGAGGGAACAATTTCCACAGTTGCTGGGAGTCAGGCGGCATCATGGAGTGCAGCCGCCTTTTCCGAACTGTGCATGTCGGATCTGCACTGGCGCACACCTGGCCGCAGGTGTCGAGGTGACTGGAGGTGGCCCACTAAACCAACCTGCATTCAGCCAACCCCACATGCTCCAGCAAGCTGAAGCCCAGGTCCCACGGGCTGTGACTCCATGACGTTTCTCCCAAAAATCTCCAGATCTCTAGGGAAAGGACTAAAGCCTCAGGGTGTGGGGCCGGAATCAAGGGAATGGACTATTTCTTGTTCGGCTCAATTGTTCTGGCTGGCTGCCCCACTCCTCAGGGGACCGGCTGTTGCCAGAGCCCGTTCCAGCCCTTTCCCATGCTCTCCCAGCCCCCAGGCGTGTCCGGAGCAGCTTGACTTAAGCCAAGCAAGAGCAGACTAGCAGGAGCTGCCTCTGCTTTTCCCTCTAGCTTAGCATATCGCAGCTGCAAGATAAGGCTGGGCTCAGTCAACATCTGCCTTCGCTCACACTCCCTTTCCACGGATCAAATTCTCCTCCTGGCCCCTTCCCTCTTCCTGATCCTGACATTCTTCCGCCCCCACAACCATGCTTTCCCGCTTGATCACTTTATTCTCTCCAAAGTATCCTTTGTCCGCTATTTACACATCCCAATGTACCTTTTTTCATTTTTCCAGTCCAGATGTTCTTCCCAGATTCTTCTCTCTCTCACTGTTAGCCTTTTCAGCATCACCTTCCCCCTCTTCTCCACCCCTTTCCACCTTCCTCTCAAACGCACGATTCTTCCGGGGCTGAGCACTAACCTTGGTCCATGGTCTTGAACTGCCCTTTGAGAGCCCTTCCTGGCCCAAATGGAGAACTCCGTTTGCTCAGGAATCCCCGAAGCATCCCCCAGGAATGGCTGCCAGGGGCAGAGCCCAGCTCTGGAAATCCAGGTGTGGCAGCAGGAGAATTTTGCATGTGCACAGGCGGCGTTCCTGTCGCCATCACAGCCTTGTGCTCTTGACGGGATCTCACACACACACACACACACACACACACACACACACACACACACACACACAGAGGCACTCACCAAGAGAATGCTCTCCCAGGACATCCAGCGGATGGGGAGCACTGCCCGGCCTTGGATCCGGTAGTAGTCTCCACTGTACAGGTTCCGACTCATGCCAAAGTCTGCGATCTTGATGGTGTAATTCTTCCCGACCAGGCAGTTGCGTGTGGCCAGGTCCCGGTGGACAAAGTTCAGGGATGACAGGTACTTCATGCCAGAGGCGATCTGCGTGGCGATGAACTTCAGGTCGGTGTAGCTGAAGGCAGGAGAGGAGGAGAGGGATGGGGCATGCTGCAATATCCCCCCCCCCCCTCGGCTGCCATTCGTGTGCTTTTTTGAGGACGGGACTGCTTAAAATGGGACTGAATGCTGCTTCGGGGGAACCTTGGTGGGAAACCCTGGGGGGGGGGGTATCCGAGTCCAGCAGGGGATCCCGCCTGGCCAAAACAGCTGTTTTCCCCCTCTCACCACCTGGACGGCCCAGACTGCCACCCTTTCCTTTCTTTCAAATGCCCCAGGGTGGGGTGCTGGCACTTATTTTTCTGGTGCTAGCCTTAATTGAGTATTATTACAACGATTACTGTTGCTCAGTTAAGCCCTTTTAAACCCCTTCATGGATCACTGCCTTGTCGTGGCGAAGGGGCTTGCATAGCTCAATGAAGCTCTGTGCAGGGCCCCCGAAGACGGACAGGTCATAGCAGAGAGCGCTGACAAAACATGATCCACTGGAGAAGGAAATGGCAACCCACTCCAGCATCTTTGCCATGAAAACCCCATGGGCAGTATCAAAAGGCAAAAATACGACGCCGGAAGATGAGCCCCTCTGGTTGGAAGGTGTCCAATGTGCTACTGGGGAAGAGCAGAGGGTTAGTACTAGTAGCGCCAGGAAGAATGAAGCGACTGGGTCAAAGCCAAAAGGACATTCAGTTGCAGATGTATCTGGTGGTGAAAGGAAAGTCCGATGCTGCAAAGATCTATACTCCATAGGAACCTGGAATGTAAGATCCATGAATCAAGACAAGCTGGATGTGATCAGACAAGAGATGACAAGACTGAACATCGACATCTTAGGAATCAGTGAACTAAAATGGACAGGAATGGGTGAATTAAATTCACCCATTCCTG